CTTGGCTATTATAGAACCTTTCAAAGAGTTAGTGAATAGACTATGGTAATAAATGAGTTTTGTTTTTCAATTGTTCAGGGTAACATATCTCTCAAAAAAGAAAATTGAACATAAAGTGGTCTAGTGGTCTGGTGAAGAATTAATGAAAGAAATGAAGAGAGACCAGTTATCATAACATTTATCACTGGTAATGTCACTTCTGACTATTCTGCAATGTTGTGCTAGTTTGTCTACAAGTGCAACCTTCCAAACTCTATCATACCAGTTTTGCATAAGTTTTAAAGTTTGAATGCTATGTTTGCTCGGAACACTTGCTCTAAAATGAACCTGTATAGTTCAAACAACCCACTGAAGTCAATAGGGCTTATTTCTCAGTAGGCCTGCGTGGAATTGGGACACATGTTTCTGTTATACAGCACTGAAGGGATTTGTCAGGAGGACAATACCTTACTATGCAAATGGTAAGGCAGCAACCCTTGTTAAGGTTAAAACCCATAAAATGCAACTAAAAGATATGCTTATTTCCTCTGTTCACCTACCAAAATATACCTCACTAGAATCTGAAAACGACAGGATTATGGTTTCTTCCAATGGAATAACCACAATTAGATTGTAAGGTCCTCGGGGCAGAGAGTCTGTTTTTAATTTGTACTTCAAAGCAGTATCTCCTCTAAGCAATCAAAACAGCCTAATGCATGCTGGCAACAAGCAGCCTACCAACCAAATTGTAAATACATGTTTCATACCTTTGAATCTTCGTGCTGTATTGGTCAAGCACACAGCAGATGTCAGTACACCACACATCTTAGGGAGGCTGCAATATAGATTATAAATAGAAAAGCACCAATAGCACGAGTTAGGTGCTGCAAAGTGCGGCACAGTGACAGTAATGAGTACTGTACCTCTCTCATCCGTGTGTTTTTACCATATGGAATTTCGCACCTCAGCTACTTTTGAAACTCTCCTTATGAAAATTTTGCCTTGCTAAAATGCAATACCTCCCCAGGCAAGGACGGGCATATCCTTTTAAGCAAATAGATGCAGGAGGGTAAAGATCACATTTAGCTATTAATTAAAAGTGATTCTCCATGTAGCTTGACTGTTAAGTGCATGTGTGTGTATGTGTTTGCATATATTTGCGTGCATGTGTGTGTCTGCTGCTTAATCTTCCTAGGTTGAAGACATCAACCCAAAGCAAACACTTTCCTGACTAGGATGCCATTGTTGAATCACAGCTGCATCATCAAATGTTAAGTAATAATAATAATAATAATAATAATAATAATAATGGCTCTTAATCTTACTGAAGTCTGACCCTGAGGTACCATAAACACCCACTCACCCTCACATATGGTGCTGATAGGTCTTGTAGCCCGCCCCTCTTCCTTCCTTAGACACACCCATTTAGTGCTGCCCCTCCCATCTTTGACCATGCCTCTGTTTGTTATGATTCTGATGCTTATTCCTGCCCTTCCTTACAACATGTAAGTCAGGGTGCATGACAAAGAATCTATCAAGATCACCAAAATAACTTTGTGGAGGAAGAAGAGAAGAAGAAGAGTTTGGATTTGATATCCCGCTTTATCACTACCCTAAGAAGTCTCAAAGCAGCTAACATTCTCCTTTCCCTTCCTCCCCCACAACAAACAGTCTGTGAGGTAAGTGGGGCTGAGACACTTCAAAGAAGTGTGACTGGCCCAAGGTCACTCAGCAGCTGCATGTGGAGGAGCGGAGACGCGAACCCGGTTCACCAGATTACAAGACTACCGCTCTTAACCACTACACCACACTGGCAGAGATTTGAACTCAGGTGCTCCCAGTCCAAGTCTGGCACCTGCTCCACATCACAATCCCGTTAAAGAAACACTGAGCATTAAGTCGCCACCTGCCCAGCTTCTCTGCGCAGCATTTTGAGGACACAGTCCACATTTTCTTTTGAAACCTTTAGAGTTGATTGCTGCTAAACAATGTTGATTTCCCCATTTCTAGAAACATAGGAAGATGCCTTACACTGAGTCAGACCACTGGCTCGTCTAGCTCATTATTGTCTACACTGACTCTCCAGAGTTTAGGACAGAGGACATTCCCAGCTCTACCTGAAGATGCTTGGAATTGAACATGGGACCTTCTGCATGGAAGGCAGATGCTTGCTGCATCCCATCCCCATGGTTTATGCCTTCCTGCTCACTTTAACTGGCAACACTATAAGCCTCACTGAAAAGCATCCTCCCTTTTGTACATAGAACAAGAGAACTCCTCACAAAAACAAACAGCCTCTCCTCTTTTTTCACTCCTTGATCTGTGCTGATAATGTAGTGTGAAAGCCCAGGGAGTGTTTTCAGATAAAGGCCTGTATTCTCAGGAAGCATAGGACATGCACCTCAATCCAGGGGGTTTCCTTACTTTGTGCACCCAATTTCCCCATACGCCAGAGATCATTGTCTGGACACTTAAAGGACAAGAGTTACAAAGATCATCCAACATTCAGTTGCTTCTCAGGAAACTGCAGAGAGACTTTTTTTTAAAAAAAGGCTGTTGTGAAGCTAAGCAGAATGTTTATCTTTCTTATCTGAAAAAGGAAACCTATGGGAAACTGTATGCCATATTCTCTCCTGGTCCCCTGTCATATAATTATAATGCATTACACAAAGCAGACAGCTTTTGGGAAGCAGTAGGTCTAAGGAAGGGACAATCCCTTATTAAATGTGGCTTTGGCTTCCTTTCCAAATGTTTCAGGGCTCAATTGAGTAGTCCTCAGTGTAAAACAATACATGAGCTAAGTGTTTGGATTAGGACAACACAATGTGCCCTAAGTGTCCCATGGTGTTATGGGAACAGTTGCTGCACACAGCAAAACTCATTTTCCCCAAGTAAAAGAACGAAGGCCAGATTCCCCCCCACCCCGCCTTCAGACTTCAAAGAAAGAACACAGAGTAAGGCCTTTTACATGGCCAAATTGCTTAAGGGGGTGGGTGGAGAAGACTGATTATAATTTTGCCATTACATATTTGATGTAACTTCAAGTTTTCCGCCCCACTATTAATTTCTCTCTAGACCAAGTTAAATCAGAATCTCAGTGGATCCAAGTCATTATTTTGGAGAAGTTAAAACTACAACATGGCAGTATTATGGAGCACTATGCTTCTAACTGTGGAGGGTGTGTGTGTGATATTTATAGAACTCCTTAATAGCTGTGAATAAATTTCAGTTGGCAGAAGGTATACTGAAGAAATCTTGACCACGAAAGGCCAATTCCTGTCTGTCTGTCTGTCTGTCTATCTATCTATCTATCTATCTTTACACAGAAACCCAGCTTTCAATCACAAATCCTACTGCAATGAAGGTAGTAACAAACACATCCATAAAAACATAATCTTAAAACGAATAAATTAAAAGCTACGAACATTGAATGCTCTTCCAAACTACAAATATTATGGCAGCCTGATAATAAAACGACTAACAAAATAAAACATCACTGTGTGTGTCTACTAGCAATGTTCTCTCTTATAGTTCTCCCAGACAAACATTGCTGCTTTGTTTCTGTGGGCAGGGGAACCTCAAGCACATTTTTACTAGGAATTTGGTTCCATTAGTTTTAATGGGACTTGCTTCAAATATGTAGCCATTTCCAACAATTAAAAAAAGAGAGAGAGATAGTAGCCATTGGAGACTTCAACTACCCCAATATATACTGGAACTCAAACCAATAATATAAGGTCCAACAAATTCCTGCATTGCCTCACTGATAATTTCATTTCCCAGAAGGAGGAAGAAGCAACAAGGAGATAATCTCTCTTGAACCTGGTCCTCACTAACAAGGAGGAACTGATGAATGAAGTAGAAGTCCTGGGAAACTTGGGAGAAAATGATAATGTCCTCCTGGGTTTCATGTTACAGAGGCAAGGGAAAGGTGATTGTAGTCAGACACACACTCTGGACTTTAAGAAGGCTGATTTCAGAAAACTTAAAGAACTATGGGGAGAGATCCCATGGTCAGAAATACTCAAAGAGAAGTGAGTCTGAGATGGATGGGAACTTCTTAAAAGTGAAACATTGAAGGCACAAATCCAGACAATGCAAACAAAAAAGAAAAGTGGGAGGCAAAAGTGTGGCTACAAAAGGAGTTTACAGATGAGCTGAAATTTTAAAAGGTCATGTATAAGAAATGGAAGAATGGAGAAATCATGGAAGAAGAGTATACATGGGTAGCCAACAGTTGAAGGAAGAAGGTAAGGCACAGCAAAGCTCAGAATGAACTGAGGCTTGCAAGAGAGGTTAAAAATAATAAAACAGTTTCTTTGGCAATGTCCAAAGCAAGAGGAAGAACAAGCAAGTAGTAGATTTTCTGAGTGGAGAAGATGGAGAAATGCTGTTGGGCGACAGTGAGAAGTGAAACTGCTCAACACCTACTTTGCCTCTGTCTTCACCCAAAAGGAAAGCAGGGATGAACCAGGTGATAATAGAATAATTGATGCCGGGGGGAGCTGCATCCCAAGATAGGAAAAGAGGCAGTAAGGGAACACCTAGCTGCTTTAAATGAATTCAGATCTCCAGGGCCTGATTAGCTGCACCCAAGGGAGCTTGTGGATGCAATCTGTCTATAATATTGGAAATTTTGGGAGAACAGGGGAGGTCTCTGCAGACTGGAGGGAGGTAAATGTTGTCCCCATCTTCAAAATGTTGATGTGTGTGCAGCAACTATTCTTGGGTTTTCCTCTTTTAATAGACTTGCAGCAGAGTCTCCTTTTAATTGAGTATCTTTATTATTTACAAATATTTACACTAGTCGAATAAAAATAAAATAACATAATCCTCTTCCAGCCATCCAGCCAGAGACCTAATGCTGACTCATGCTCATTTACACACTGACACTTTACACTGACTCTTGTTGATCACATGCCCTTAACAAAGTCTCCTGTTGCTTGGTAGATTTTTATGTTGCCTAGCAACCTGTTCAAGACCAATTCTCAAGTTCTTTTTAGAATATTCCAACACAAAAGGGGGAGAAAAGAAGACCCTGGTAACTTCCAGTGATGTCAACACTAGGAAAGGTCACAGAGCAGATAATTCAACAGTTGGTATGTGAACACTTAGTAAAGGACTCTGTAATGACTAAGACCCAGCATAGGTTTCTCAAAAACAAGTCACACCAGACAAATCTCATCTCTTTTTCTGACAGAGTTACAAGCTTGACGGATCAGGGGAATACTGTGGACATAGTGCCTCTTGATTTCAGTAAGGCTTTTGACAAAGTCCTCCATGATATTCTTGCAGAGAAAATATTCTCTTGCAGAGAAGCTGGTAACATGTGGGCTGGATGAGGCAACAGTTAGGCAGCTTTGTAGTTGGTTGACTGACGAAATCCAGAGTGCTCACTAATAATTCTTCATCATCCTGGAAAAAAGTGACAAGTGGGGTGCTGCAGGGTTCAGTCCTGGGCCCATTGTTGTTCAATGTCTTTATAAATTATTTGGATGCAGGAACTGAGGGGATGTGCAGGTGACACCAAACTGGGAGAAGAAGAAGAAGAGTTTGGATTTGATATCCCACTTTATCATTACCCGAAAGAGTCTCAAAGCGGTTAACATTCTCCTTTCCCTTCCTCCCCCACAACAAACACTCCGTGAGGTGAGTGGAGCTGAGACACTTCAAAGAAGTGTGACTAGCCCAAGGTCACCCAGCAGCTGCATGTGGAGGAGTGGAGATGCAAACCCGGTTCACCAGATTACGAGTCTACCGCTCTTAACCACTACACCACACTGGCTCTGGGAGGGATAGCTAACGTTGCAGAAGACAGAATCAGGATTCAAAATGACCTTAGCAGATTGGAGAATTGGACCAAGGCTAACAAAATGAATTTCAATAGAGACAAACGTAAGGTTCCACACTTAGGCAGGAAGAACCAGCTGCACAGATCTAAGATGGGGAACACCTGGCTTGCCTGTAGTACATGCGAAAAGGATCTAGGGGTCTTAGTGGACCACAAGCTTAACATGAGTCAACAGTGAGATGCAGGAGCAAAAAAGCCATTGCTATTCTGCGTTAACAGAAGTATAGAGTCCTGATCAAGTCATAATATCACTCTATTCTGCCTTGGTCAAACAACACCTGGAATACTGTGTCCAGTTCCGGGGCCCCCATAATTTAAGAAGGGTATTTACAAGCCTTATGAGGAGTGGTTGAAAGACCTGGGTATGTTTATGCTTCAAGTTACAAGAAAGGAGATTCCGAGTAAACATCAGGAAGAACTTTGTGATGGTAAGAGCTGTTTCACAGTGGAACGGGCTTCCTCAGAGGGTGGTGCCCTATTCTTCCTTGGAGGTTTTAAAGCAGAGGTTGGATGGCCATCTGTCATGGATGTTTTAGTTAAGATTTCTGCATTGCATGGGGTTGGACTAGATGACCCTTGGGGTCCCTTCCAACTCTACGATTCTGTGTTTAGGAAAATATCTTAAAAATATTTGCTGCTTCCCTAAGCATACATACTAAGAAACAAGTAGTAAATGATTTTGACTCAAATGGCATGGATTTATAAGAAAAATGGTTAAAGATATGTCTGAAAGATGGGTTAAAACACAAGACCAGTGAATGCCAACATTTTGTGGAAGAATTTAAAGACTGGCTGTAAAGAGATCAAGCTGTGAACACATTACTAACAAACTGTTTTTAAAGTTACAAATTATTGGCTTGTCTACAAAGTCCACATTGAAAGAATTTGATGTATAGGCATTTAGGCAACCTTCAAGATCTCATGACACATAATTAGTGCCACATTTTCTCTGTGAGCATCCTAGCAGCACCTCACATGCAGAGGCTATGGGGTCACTCATTCTAGATTTTCTCTGAGCACCAGCAGCCTCCCTTCCTGTCATTCTCCTGCCTTTTATGGGATTCTCCTCCAGCAAAGTCATCCACAGTTAGTTACCCTTCACAATGTTATTTGTGACTTTATAATTTCCTCTTGGAATCTCCAAATAAATTGTTCTTATTCCCTTCAGACAGGGGTGGGAGGAAGGTAGATGTGGGAGATACGCAAAGGCTTCTGACTCCCATTTGTTTAACTATAGCAGCAAAGACTTAAGTTCTAACTCTGTGGCTTTTGATCTTGGCTCTGGTTGGTAGATCTTGGTAATCATAACAATAATTTATTACTTAATACCCTGCACATCTGACTGGGTTGCTCCAGCCACTGTCCAACCCAGTGTAGAAAGACAAGCTACAATTCCTGCTACCTTCTGCAATTCTCAGGCATGGAAAATAGGCAAGCAGTCTTCGCTGAGGGAGGTAGTGAGTATTAATTTGACCATGTTAAAGAGGTACAGTAGAGATAAAATGGCATTTACTTCCTGATTTACACCACAGTTCACTGCAGAGCTGGCCCAGAATTGAGAAGAACCTTTACAGCAGAGTTGGTGAAGACCCTCCAGGTTTCCATCCCTGTGCTTGTCTTATGTTGACCACTGTTTTTATCCTGCCCTCCAAAGGCTAGATGGTGTTATTAGTCCCTTCCAACGTTATGATTCTAACTAGAGTCAACAGGGTCATGTTGGGCTACCAAAGGATGTATTCTACTGCTAGGCTACAGTCATTACGGTCACCAAACCTCATAGTCCTTCCATCTTGTATATTCTGCAACTCACTTATGTTCAGTGGAGAAAACTTCTCCCTTCTTCCTTTTCCTCATGGGGTAGTTGCTTAACTATCTCTGTATAACCCAGAAATCACAAAGGAATGTTCCCATGTATTAGATAGAGCTTTTCATCTGCTTTAGGTAAAGTCTGAATACTGAGTCTGAAGCAAAGAGGACACTGCACATGGCAAATGTCCAGTTGTACAGAAGAGTGCTTCACCCACATAGAAGAGAAGTGGATAGTAAGGAGAGGGAAGATGCTTAAAATAAGAGGTCTTCCATCAACAAAAAGAGCACTCAAGCAGTTCAAACAAGGTTCGTAACACAGGGAGCTTTCAGATGACCCGACCGATTTGTTTGAAAGGAGGTTGGACAATGTTAGATATTTATTAAGCATCCATTCCGATTTGCTTATGGGACGGTTAGACAATATTGCATCATATGTTTCCCTACACTTTTGAGTGTATTTCCCCATCATTCCCTCATTGGACTTGTGGATTGGTTCAGCAAAACCTCCAAATCACCAGTAAGTACACAACTAGAATTTGTCAGGATGTGATTGGATTTCGCCCAAAATTGTCAACAGCCTGGAAGTGCTCTTAAGTGTTAGGAAGGAAGTTGATGTTTCAACAGAAAACAATGGATTCTGCTGCTTTGAATAATTACATTTTTAATTTGTGTGAAATAAAAAATAATTAATTTGTTAAAATAGTTTGGCAGAAGTGGCTGATGAGAGGAAAGACGGAGCAGAAGAATGAATTAAAATAGTGGACTGCTGTTGCTATTATTATTATTATTATTATTATTATTATTATTATTAACAACAGTACCCAATCAATATCATGCGGACCACAACAGATGGATGAAAACAAACAGTAAAGTAGCTCAGGTTTTATAAGCACCAGACAGGAAGATCCAGTGATTCAGAAGTGTAGGGCAGCTTTTATTTGCCATTTGTATCTTAGTGAGCTTTCAGACTCCCTGCCATCATTGCGATACAGTAAAAATAAATACCGGACAAGTGGTCAGTATAGCTTGTTACACTATAACAACGTACAGCTACAAGCCATTTCCCCACTAGAAATGCCATTCATCATGATGGATGTGTCACTTGGCCTGCTGAAAATGTTTTGGTTTAGGTGGAAATCACCAGGGATACCAATGCTTCTTACTATTTCTCTTTGCTAGGTGACTTGAGATGCTCAGCCACATAAGCATCGAGTTAAATGGCAAAAAGCCTTGCTATTCAGAAACTATTGCACTGTCAACAAAAATGAAATGTCTGAAAGGCAAGTTCATACGCTAGATTGTTTGCCTTTCAGGGTTACGGCCAAAGAGCCAATCAAACTCTGCAGCAGTGTTTTGCTGTTTCTTTAACTTCTGACTTCATCAGCGTAAGACAAACATACCACCTTGAGCCCCTTCTGACCTATAATCTATACATAGTTCAGGAGACCAAGTCTGTTATGGACTACCAATCAAAGAAATGCTTGCTAGGAGCTGTCATGAAAAATGGACACTTAAGGCCTTAACAACATTTACTTGTATACAGTGGTGCCCCGCAAGACGAATGCCTCGCAAGACGGAAAAACCGCTAGACGAAAGGGTTTTCCGTTTTGAAGTTGCTTCGCAGGACGAATTCCCCTATGGGCTTGCTTCGCAAGACGAAAATACCTTGCGAGTCTTGAGATTTTTTTCGCTTTTCCCCCTTTATCTAATCTGCTAAGCCTTTAATAGCCTTTAATAGCCTTTTAGCAGCTAATCCCTAAGCCTTTAAGCCTTTAATAGCCGCTAAACCGCTAATAGCGCTAATAGCGCTAATCCGTCAATGGGCTTGCTTCGCAAGACGAAAAAACCGCTAGACGAAGACTCTCGCGGAACGGATTAATTTCGTCTTGCGAGGCACCACTGTATATGGCACATCCAAGGTAACATTTGGAAGTAAAAACAAAAATTGTTGAGCTTTTTATTCTATTTTTACAAAAATGCCAAAAATTTCAATTGACAAAGCGGAAATCACCCCCCGCCCGGGCGTCAGTTCCATCTTTGAAATACAGGGCCTACCGTATTTTTCACCCTATAGGACACACTTTTTCCCCTCCAAAAATGAAGGGGAAATATGTGTGCGTCCTATGGAGCGAATGCAGGCTTTCGCTGCAGCCTGGAGAGCGAGAGGGGTCGGTGTGCACCGACCCCTCTCACTCTCCAGGCTTCGCGCACCTCTCCGCAAGCAGCGGGAGCCCGGCGCTGGGCTCCTGCTGCTTGCAGAGAGTTGCCTGCATGCTGAAGCCTGTGCACGCTGAGCTCAGCGCGTCCAGGCTTCACGGACCTCTCCGCAAGCAGCGGGAGCCAGCCCTGGGCTTCCACGGCTTGCAGAGAGCTGCCTGTTTGGGGGCTGGGGTCGGGGGAAGCTCGGGCTTCCCCCGCCCCAACCCCGCGCCTGGGGGGGAAATAATCCCCCCCTTTATTCCCCCCCCAAAAAAACTAGGTGCGCCGTATGGGACGGTGCGTCCTATAGGGCGAAAAATACGGTACTTATTCTCTCTCCTCTACTGCACAAAAGGGTACCCTCCAGGAAAGGTTAAGCCTATTTATGCCTGGTGTATTTCATGATTACAAGCCTGGTTAACTTTCCATAGACTGCAAACTCCAGCAAAGGCCCATAGGGTGCTAATGAACACATATAGTTCTGAGTGTGTGACAAGGTTCCAGGGGAAGCAAGGCTGTCCTATTGTTTTCCGCAATCCACAGAGCACCCTGTCATAGAACTGGACACTGAAGCTGTATACTGAGCATGGGATAGGTGCCAACACATTACCCAAGGTTGCATCTAAGGTAGCGCTAAGTGAACATTCTATCAGCGCTAGGATTTCTGCACAACCACCTAATCTGCTCTAGGGGTTCCCCAACATTCTGGAGCAGATTTTGGGGAGGACATGAGGTAAGGGAGGCGAGAGGGAGGGAGGAAAGTTTTTATATATGTTGGAAGCTGCCCAGAGTGGCTGGGGCAACCCAGTCAGATGGGCGTAGTACAAATGAAACCATCATCATCACACAATCAGAAATCCTTGGCCCTGGCAGGTCACATTAGTTGAATACTGGTGACAGTATCCTAATGTCATTTTGGCTTATGATGAAGCCAGCTATGTCAGCTATGTGTGATTATGGGCTGTATCACATGCCGTAAAAATCCTGCACGGAAGCCACTCTCTTCTGTATAGGAAGCTGTGCATCGTTATATGAAATAATTTTCATATGAAATAACCTTACGCACATGCAGGATCCTCACAGGGAATGGTCTGTGTATATAATGAAGACTTCCTGCGGCTTTCCACATGGAAGTCGTTTCCATACAGGGATTATACAATGTGTGAAGGAGCTCTATGGGGTTGAAGCTGACAAGCAATAGCACAGAATCCTGTTCTCGTTCTGTCAGAAGGCGGCATTCTGGGAGCAACAGTGTGTTTTAACAATAGATGGTGTGTGAGAGAGAGTGGGGCAGAGGGGAGGGGAGGTATTACTGTTGCCATTAAAACAGTCCCCAAATTACCAGTTTCTTCCACGGTTGCAAGCTTTAATTGGTTTTAATCACATGGAAGATGGAACAGGCTTGTTTTCTCCTGCTCTGGTGGGTCGGATCTGAACCGAAAGCTTCAAGTTGTGAGTCGAGGACCCGAACCCATGTGGTGGTGAATAAAAGACAAGGACACAAGTATTTGGGTTAGTGGGCTGAAAAAGGCCACAACTTTTATTGATTACAGCATGGGAGTGGTATTGGCTTAGGCATTGGATCAAACAACCTATTCATGTCCCCAACTGCACAGCGGGGTGTCCATTGAAGGTTAACAACCAGTGGGAGGAGCTTGTTGATGCAAATACAACTGGAAGCTTCCCATGACATCACCGGGGGTCGTGCCATGGCCCTAGCCACCAGCAGGGCATCGGACAGGATCCACGACCGCCGGATTCCTTTAACGGAATACCCAAAAGAGGAAGGGTAGATGATGGCCATACCCAATCCTCCAACACAGTACACATATTCCAATGCCTAACTGCCAATACCAAAAAGTTGTGACGAGTTGCTACGAGGTAGGCAAAAAAACCAAGAGGCTGGTGCCAATTTGCCAAATGGATAAAAGAGTCCTACCAGGCCCCTTGGGCAACCAAGGCAACCAACTGAAGTCCATAGCAAGGTCAATATGCAGGGGAAGATGACCTAAAAGCGAGGGAGGGTGGGAGATCTGAAGCAAGCAGGAACCGACTGGGATCAGAGCACTGCCACGGCTGCTTAAGTGCAGCTAAACCCCGCCCACCAGTTGGCCCTATTGGCCGGCTGAAAGGCTTGGCCGTGGCAGCAGAGGCAATCAGAGGCAGGGAGCCAGATACGCCTCCCTGCTGCTATGGGAAGCTGCTCCCACTCACAACTCCTCCCCTCTGGGAGGAGGAAAGGTCTTCTCGTTCTGTCAGAAGAAGTCATTATGGGAACAACAGAGTGTTTTAACAATAGATGGTGTGTGTGAGAGTGGTGGGCAGAGGGGAGGGGGAGTTATTACTGTTGCCATTAAAATAGTACCCAAATTACCAGTTTCTTCCACGGTTGCAAGCTTTAATTGGTTTTAATCACATGGAAGATGGTACATGCTTGTTTTCTCCTGCTCTGGAGGGTAGGATCTGAACCGAAAGCTTCAAATTACAAGAAAGGAGATTCCGACTCAACATGAGGAAGAACTTTCTGATGGTAAGAGCTGTTTGACAGTGGAGCAGACACCTTTGGAAGGTGGTGAACTCTCCTTCACTGGAGGTTTTTAATCAGAGATTGGGTGGCCATCTGTCATGGATGCTTTAATTGAGATCCCTGCATTGCAGGGGGTTGGACTAGATGACCCTTGGGGTCCCTTCCAACTCTACAATTCTATGATTCTATACTCTATAGAAATCTATATTCTATGATTCTATTTTGCTCATTTCTGGGGAGAAATTGCAATCAGTGAGGCTGCAAGTTACAGGCATAATAATAATAAAAAAGCTGTTCTGTTATTGGTGTGTTACTGTAACAGAATGAAAAGACAATGTTAAAGATGCTTTTTTCAAAAATAGATTTTTCTGGTTAGATTTTAGTGTGCCAATTTCTAGAGGAATAGCGCTGCTAGCTTGTTGCAGCAAAAAAGAATGAAACATCTTTATTGTTTCGTAAATGGTGCCCTCCCTTGGACCACTGAAACATTGCTGAGGGTTCTAGCAGCCATTTAATTATTTTTTTCTGCCTGTTGTAGCCATAGCAGTGTGCTGTGCTAGGTGCTGTATGGTTTTTAATTGTATTTTTTAATCTTTTATTTTATTTCTTATAGTCTATCACATTACCATTTGAATTCCATAGAATATTTAATGTGATGGATGTCCTGCCTTCTTTCTTCAACCACAAATCCATAGATGCACTGAATGAATGGTCACATGAATGAAGCTTGCAGACCACCTGTGATTTGTGGGCCCCAACACATTTGTTAAGTCGTTAGGGTGCCACAATACTCTTTATTAAATGGTATGTTAGCTTACACTTCCTTGAATATTTCAAGAGGAAACTCTACATAAGTATTGTTAATATGCACATCTACATAAATTTGAATAATGGATTAATTTTCTAAAAGGTAGGTGAT